ACATGGAACACTCGCATAATTGGAAGGAGAGAAGAGGAATCGCATTTGAAGCACGGGATCTGTTTTTAGAAGGATTGTTAGAGGACCTCATCATTGTTTTTGCACTCATTTTTCATGGAATGCATGAGGGGCTAACAGTACACTAGGTATTAGGTTGCAGCAACACCACTTTTAAACTCTGCGGTAAACTTCCACGGGAGGTGGAATATGGATAACAACGAAGATAGAGGGAGAAATCGTGAATTCTCATGAGCAAGTTGGCACGTCAGTACAGTTTTGGGACACTTGGCCGTTTGTGTCTGGATCAACATAAAACCAAGCAATTTTGTGCATTTCTGTGTTAACAAACGTGCAAATTCATTGCTCTATGGCGTCTAAGGCGCATGTGTCGCAATATTTAGCGCGAGGGAGTAAACAAAGTCGAGTTCGGATCCTTGTCTTTTTGTCTTTGAGAGAGACCCATCCGAAAGACTTTAGGGACGATGAAGAAGTCTTTTACTCACAGGCCCGATATCCCAAAAAGGCAGTGTTAAGAAAGTCAGTTCTCAGCGCAGTGGATTTTTTGGATTCAGCGGCGTCTCACTGCAAGTATACGTCTTGACGGACAGAGATAGGTAGGTGACTTCCAGGGTGTTTTGCTGACAGATTTCACCTTCGGTTCAATAGTCTGCAATGCACCCATGGAACTTGTTGCGCTTTCCTGAGGATGAGATATAGTTTGATATAAATCGTTTGTCTGCTTCAGAGAAGTATTCCAATATTGCTTCTCACAAGTTCCGTCAGGACGGACGACTTATGGGTGACAAGTTCACTAAATCCAGATAGTTCCTGACGCAAAGTTAGCGATTTTGGCTTAAGGGGTGTTGCGACTATTTCATAAGCTCCCTGAAACATTAGACATGTTATATCTTTGTCTGAGGATGCGAGTACGTGAAGTTGAGATAGAAGTTTGATGTGCTTTAGCCGACCCGATGTCGAATGCCACGGATTTAGTGTCTGTGCCGTTCCTTTGATGTGGTTGCATTTGAAAAATCGGATTATAATTAGATTTTAAAGTAGGATCATGTGCCAAACGAATGTTGTGTAGTTCAAATTCCTAAATATTGGCGTTAAATATGGTCTTTTTCAATCACACTCCGCAGAATACTGAATGAGTGAACAACATTCATATCCGTCCGAGGTGGAAACTGATAGATAATACCACTGAGCACCCAGCCTTGCCTAATAAGTAAGCTATGACACACTGATAAAGTTCATAAGAAAAGTGTATTCGGAGATCGCGTGCAAGTGCAAGAAGTCTGCAGGAAGATGAAATACGTTCGCGAATCTTGAGGGATCCATCATCCTTGGTCGTGCATCGGACTGGCTCGCCTAATCCTCTTTAACCTCAGAGTCCAACCCATTTCGAATCACTGGTGGGAGGTGTGGATAGGCACCACACTTTTCTGCTGGGTATATCCCTCCTTATGCGAGGTCAACAGTTAATATGGTAACACATTATCTTATTGTTGGAATGCCGTTGTTGTTTGTCTATGGCGAAGGACAAAGCAACCTACTCCTGACTGTGAAGACGGTCGATACTTTATCAAGCTGCCGACTGTGACAGATTGTGGCGACCTAAAGAATCAGGCAACACATAAAGGGTCATCTCTACTCAAAGGGTGGTTATCTGTTGTAAAATTGCTACTAAATGACACGAGAAAATTTGTTGAGCCCAGGGGCACAGTGACTGCAACACAACAAATTCACAGATGAAGGAAAATCAGCGGCTTCTTAGGTACTCTAGATTAACGAGTTTTTAAGGAACTCCATACAGAGGTGCGTACAAAATCGGCCTAGCACTGCTTTGTTGACTCCACCAAAGTAATGAAAGATCAAGCTCTTGTACTTCGAAAATTTCCGACCAAATATCTGCAGAACATTTACGGCAGCTCGGGAAAGTGGTGTACATCAAGCCAGTAGACGCGTTAGATAGGCCAATCAATACAGGAAGAAAGGCTAAATGCCGTTAGTAGGACGAACGGGATCCACAAAATTCAATGTTATGATGGCAGCAAACAGAATACATGAACACTTACGCCTGCCAGAAGGAGAAACCAAGTGTCAGTTGCATCATCTAATGAGACAGCAAGAGAAATAATTTCAATTTGGATAATACTTTCTGTATTAGGGAATGAAATGGGGGCAAGTCTGCCGAGGTGCAAAAATTGACACAAAATTCAATCAACATCTGTATTGACCCAATTCATCAGTTGCTACTACTTAAACAAGTATACAATACCGGGCCTATTAACCCCTTAGGAAATGATACAACTTGACAACAACTGACGCTAATTGCCCCCGTCCCTAATTTTCATAGCTGCTTCCAATGTAAGCACTCCATACAATTGTTTGCGTTTTTATAGTATTTCATCCCATGAACAACAGAAAGCAGCCTGATATGCACGCGCGTGTGACTGCACATTTTGATTAGCCACTGTATAAAACCACCACGCTATCAAATATCAATGTTTTCTTCTTCCCACACATTCTTTACTAGCTAAGCTGGCTCTGGATAATTGAAGTGCTCGAAAATTTTACGTACAATTCCATTCCCGTTAATGTCAAAAACAGGCAATGGACAGCGGGCTATCTCGTATTAGGGCATAACTAAGAAAAACGTACCGAGCTATGCATAATGCACCTCAGCAAACAACCATTTGCAGGCACAAGCATGTGCCATTTTCCTGCTAACTAACTTGGCGCCTTTTTTAATCGGGCAGCGGGTTTCTGGCTTGTTTCTGGGCGGCATAACTTTAGTGACATTCCAACGACCCACGTGTGGGATGGGACTTTATGTGCGTAAAGACTATGTTTGAAGCACTTGGTAATTTTTGTCATTGACAGAATAATCAAAAATAATTTTTTCCAGCCACGTTGACTATCTGTGCGTTCCATAAAGTTAATCAGCGAGAACAAGTTAATTGTGTGGGAGGTCAAAGTATGATGTAACGACATACAATGATGATGATAGCGCATATGGTGAAATCCACGTTGACTTCTTACGACCCCTAGAAAATAAATTCAAGCGGATGGGCTGAATGCGGCTGCAACTCTGCGTAGACCCAGTGACCGTCTCCTGACGGTTTTGCAGTGCCACTTGTTAAAAACGTGTAAAGTGCGGTTCGCCTTAAACAGTGAAGAGTGATGCCACGGGCATGTTTTGTGATTTCAGGAAGCCCTCAAATGTGATTTTGATTACCTTACGTTTAAGCAAACTTTTGGGTCACACACATGTATAGTGCATGGCTTTTGTCTGTTATTTGTGGTAACATTATCAGGGCTTTAGGGAGACGGGTAAAACATCATGTGTGGTAATTAAGGTGTGGAATTCAACACAAAAAGACTACCGCATGGCCATCAATAATATGCCGCCTGTCATCGATACAAAGGTCGCCACAACCGATAGTTGCCGAAACACTATCTGAAAAATCTCTGTAGACTTAACCGCCTGTTTCGTATGCGATTACTTATGTTTCTTATACCCACGGTTTCATAGACACCACATTCGCTTTGGTGTGGAAGGCCCCGCAGCTATGTTTTCTCACCTGGTGATGTAGTGAAATACTGGCAGCTCGGGTGAGTTTATTGGTTATTGATCAGATGTCTGTTGCTCTGTTTGTTGAGCTTGGCAATTGGCTTGCAAACGTTTCGTCACCATACGAGGAGACATCATCAGTGCGCATCACTGCGCACGGCGAACAGAGCAACAGACATCTGATCAACAACGAAGTTTTCTGACCTTTTTTATCCACCAAGAATTCCGCTTCGGATGTGATCATGGAGGTACGTACATCGCCGCCGCTGAAGTTTCTGTGAAAAGGAAGAGGTGGCTCGCGTGGTTAGTTAAAATAGAGACAGATGCTTGTATAAGTCCTTCTACTTCATAGGGTCTTGTGCCACCGTGTGCAGCCATCTCTGTAATAATAATAACTTTATTTTTCAACTTGCAGGGACCATTCCAATCGAATGGTGATCTAGCCGCTACAACCTAAACGCGGCAAACAACAACACAACGCTGGGAACGGTAAAGCTGACGAGACACGCTTACCAAATAAAAGGTCATCAGAGTTGTTGGGAAAGCTAGAACAGTGTGTCATGGTGTGTGGCCAATTCAACGATAAAGCTGGCTGATTTGAAGTGAAACTGAAACAGCATTGCTGGCAACCGTTGGAGGCGCACCAAAAATTTCCCGTAAACCAAAGATAAACTCTAACATGGGGTTTTAACATTTGATGGCATTTATTCGAACCCAAGCTACCTACATTCTACAACATTGCCCTCAAGATATCTTCATGCGGCTGCGGTTTTGCTGGAAGTTGTTTGAACTTTCTTAGGGTTCACCATTGGTGCGGAATTCGTATTTAATGGCTGGATGTGGCTCTGCGTGATGTCTCCGTAGTACCGTGTTATCTTCTGTTTTGAATTTGGAATTAATCACAAGACTACATGAACGATAAATATGCCCCCACTGTCGGCGCAAAATGAATTTGAAGCAGCCATTTTTGACTTGTGCATGACTACGTTTTCCATTTCTGAGCAGGCCTGGCACTTAACAAAGCCATGCGTTTCGCTACGGCTAGTGAGTTTATTTTGTTCATTTTATGGTGGTCAGTGCACACTATATCATGTGCGTTGCCAGCTTTTATCTTCACAGTTACAGTGATCCCTAATAGTGCCATCGCAATAATTGATGAGTTTATGGGCAGAACCCTTATTAGAGGGAACAGAAATGTGGCCAATGCTTCCAAGTTTTTGCGTAAGTTCAGTGGGTTGGTACGATCTTGGGGGGGGGGCGTGTGACGCTTTGTCGCGAAATATCAGGAATATGACACAAGAGCAGTCGTCAGTCACGTTACCGTCATCTCAAGGTCGTACTTGGGTCCGTGGACACTGCCAAACAAGAGCATCTTTGGGACGCAGTTGGGTTTGTTATGGTCGTTAGGGTTGTTCCAGAATGTTTAGATGAACTGGGACCGGTATGGATCAGTTATATTCTTGGGTTCATCGAAGGTGCAGGGTGGTTTATCACCCTCATTCAAACGAGGCAACAAGACAGCCGTGTCTATATTGGAGATCTAATGTGGGAAAACATTTGCTAGAGAGCACTATGGTATGAGTTATCCCGCGCTCCGAAATAGCAGACGATGCAAGACACGGCTGCCAACCGACGTAAGTGGCGTTGTTCTATGCCGATTGATTGACTGAGTGTCTGGAGGAAAAGTTGAATGAGGCTCGAACCTATAAAACAGAAATATAATGGAGCCTCAAAATAGCCTGATATAGCAAGTTTTATAAGTGTCTGATAAGTTAAAGCTTTTTTCCATATAACCGGGTGCTGAGGATTACAAAAATTCTGGTATACGAACGCATGCGAGCCAGCAAATGCGTTTACCAGAATGGGAACTGATACTGCGATTGAGTATGGGATGGTTACAAGGTATGACGAAGACGACGGGGCTTACGTTTTTTTAAAAGCTACATGGTACCGGTATCGGGAAGCAGAAGTCAAGTGAAGATAGAATTAAGTGCTCTGAATGAGCGGGTTTGACACCAAGGACCTGCTCACTCACTAGATCACCGCCGCAGCTGCACTCATAAACGCGCGTTTGTTTGGTCCTTGGATCGAACGGTTCAAGTCTGTGCAACTTCACCTTACGGCTGACTGGTACACATCGTTCTATTGCTTTAATTTCTCTGCGCCCAACAATACATATTGTTGCCGACTTTATCAAATCGCCGGCATACACACCGTTCCCTCATTATTGCCAATGGGACCAACAGAACAAGTAATAACTCGACTTTTATAGCAGAAAGACTAGCTTCGGCGTAGGCACATATCAGGAATTCTGGACAGCAAGATTTATGAAGCGGGTGGTGAGTTGGCCCTACAGCTTTTTTAAATTGTGCTTTCAGTGATATGCAAGGTATGCATGAGTTGAAATTGGTTATGTATTTTTCGGTTTAGAGACCCTGTCGAGTGAAATCGGTTCCCTGAAAACCAGAACTGGATTGACCACACGTAATCTTGGTACCAGAACATCATACCTGGTTAAACAGCAGAGACGGTTTCATCCATCCTGTCACATTTAACTAAAACTTGAAACCACCGCTGAGGACTCGTGGCCTTGGACTCTAGGGCTCATGCAAGGGTCACAGGGTCATGCTATTCCTTATGTCTGCTCCCCTTATATCGTAAAACACCTGCAGAGCGAAGCCCATTTTGTGGCACTTCAGTAGAGCTAATGACTGCAACTGCCTTATGCTCATTCAAACCGTAACTGCCCGTGGCAACCTAGCCAAAGTCTATCCTACTTGTTCGTTGCCACGTCGTCTAAATTCTCACTTTGCTAAGAACTAACGCAGATGCTGCCCCTTCATGACTTTCTCCCTGCTGGTCAACTGATGCTTGATGCAAAACGCGAGTGACGCCAATGCATGCGTCTTGAATCTCCATCTGACCGTATTACCTAGATATTAGGATAAAGCTTAATCAGGTCGGTTTTTCCCATGCTGTAATTAGATCAACAGTACTCAAATTTAAGCTGGCTTATATGAACGAAATATATGCTATTCGGTATCTCCTCACATTCGCCAGGCTTCGGTCATCTTATCCAATATTCGCCTCTTCCTGAGTTTCGATTTTCGGCGCACGGCTACTTCGAACAAACTGGTCAGTGTCTACTCCTCCTAACCTCTGCTGAGGTAAGTCAGTGCAGTGATGGAATGGCACTGCCACATTGAGGCACATCTGCAATTATTCTCGCTATACTCCAGACTAACCACTCTCAGACTTCGGAGCCCTGGCTGAAGCAAAAGACACTTACCTGGCCCAGAGCGCCTCCAAGATTATTCCTTTCTAATTCACTTAACCCCTCCCTCATATTAACCCATTGCAGTTCACTTTTGTTTCCCCCAAAAATTTATAGATTTTCTTTGCGGTCAATGTTCCACCCTATAAGCTAGCACTAGCTCACTCGAACAATAATCTGCACCTATACTGCTCCAGAATAGACACCATTGAGTTTATGCAGTGTCGCTGTACACCAGGATTCCAAGGTGCAATTTAACATCTGTCATTATTGTAGATATTTCCATCTCATCATCTTGCTCGCGGTCTGACCCCGGCCGCTAACTCAACGGCTGAAAATTACGCAGCCCAAGAAACCGTTTTCAGTTTCATCCCAAATTAACCAACCCGATAACTTAACTACTCCTGATTCTTCAACTTCGTTGTTTTGGTTTCTTGTTCTCCGGAATTTGCATGTTTGTCACGTACTAGGCAGGACCACTTTGTTTTGCCTCCCCGGGTTGTGTTGTTAAGCACCACAAGTGAAAAGCATGATCTTCCTGCAATTAGGCACGTTCCATGCAAACTGATCATAGGGGATGGTATGACATCTACCGGTTAATGGTTAACACTGTTATAGATTATGGTGCATTTTTGAGCAAGGCCGCAACCTTAGCTTGCTCCTTGTGAATGACGACGCCCAAATTAGACTGCTTTCCTTACTCGTTAGGGGTGTACGGATGTCGAAGCGCTTCTTCTCATTTTCATATGAAGCACACAACTCTTGACTGCGCTCCTCATTAAGGGGTCCTGGCCGCCAGCAGTGCCGCTATATTTTCGCCATTAAGATGGAGGAGTTGACTGTGTTTTGGAATCTAACTGACTGTAATTACAAAACATAATGAGCCCATAATGAGCACATTTTGCTTGTCTGGTATGTGGTATCACCCTTGTCCGTCCAAGTAGTATGGCGTCGCTGACCATAATTTTCTTATTTTCGCGCCCAAAATAGAAAATTTCGTTGACATTTTGATCTCCATCATCCGTGTTCCCTTTATGGTCTTCTTTCTGTATAGACTAAGTAGTCCGTCTTTAGGTACATTAAATTTTTGCTCAAGATTCCGAATCGCCCTGAAATGGTACAATAAAACGTGCTGACAACTTGAGTCTTGACGACCACGGCTTTCCAGTTTTACTTCAAAACTTACCATCATTTTTCTCGCACCAGTCACGTAGGCCAAATTTTTTTTGGCTTGCCTAACCTTTTGTCAGTCCGTCTGACTGATCAATATTACGGCAAAACCTGGTAAAGGATTTTGAAATCTAATTGATTAGTACATGTTATCTCTGCCGAAATTAAACCCGCGTTATCAACCAGAAATAATCGGAGGGTGATATCCTTTTAGGAAAATGCAAACAGATTGTGTTTATTTGAGTGCCTCCTGTTGAATTCCAACATGCTTTACAATATAGCATCATTTCAAGGATCTGAGAACAGAAGATCCCTGTTACCGTTTGGGAATTTTTCATTCATGAAAGCCACGGTCTTCTCGTTTTAAAATAACTCCAGGCATAAAAGTAAAATTTGAAAACAAACTAGTCAGTGGGTTTCCATTTTGCATCCCTCTAAGAGAACACAGCAGCATTGCTAGTTTCATTGCGCCGCTCCAAACCCATGCTACCAGCAGATCCACAGAAGCCACAGACAACTTTGAAAAAGACATCACCGCTGTTCGGTTTTTAAGGTCAAGGGGACGTGCACGGGCCCTACCGCCTAGAAGAACGAGACTTCTTCAGGAATGTTTTCACCGCGGAAGTTATGTAGGTTATTTCACCTTTACAATTATACAGCTAGCGTTATGCCAGCTGTATGTTGGTCCGAGAAACGATCGCTTAGTGGGCGCCTTGGTCATATTTTGAGACAGATTTTAATGCCATCTCCAAAAACCAGCAAGTTTTACCCCCGGGTAGACCTAGTTCATCCCAGTTGTTGAGAAGTGAGCGATGGTGTATCAAGATGCCCAGAAAGAGAAAATTGAAAGTGGCAGGTAAACGCTTTTAAGGCTGTGATAAACTCCGACCTAAACCTGTGCAATACTTACGCATGGCAAACTATAGGAAACTACATATTTCTACCAGACATTGAGGACTTTTATCCATGGACTACATCCACAAACGACCTACAGACATTACACCATAATAAAAACGTTGATAATGCGACCAATCGGAATAATTTTTCAGGGGATAACGACAACATGGGTTCCGCTGCGACGCGGCCCACCTACTTAAGACAACCTCCAGTTTGTCTTTTGCCCAAATTAAAGCTGGCTATTTATCAACTGAAGCTCAGCTTTTCACACTAGCCACCGGGTGCGGCTTTAAAACCATACAGCTTTGAATTTGCTAAGAGGTGTGCGCATGTGCGCATTTATCATACCGATGGCCTGGGACAGGCGATTTAGTAGTCCCACGGGTTTAGCAGCTTAATCTTGCGTGATTGGGACGTACATGCTACTTGAAATAGTGACGGGCGAGAAATTTAAAAAGAAGACCAAGGCGCCTTTTGTGCCACCTTCCGCATGGAGACGTGTTGTGCTTTTGTGCGCTTCCGTCATTTCATGAAACGCATTTATTCACGAAGCCGAGGGGTGTCAGATGGGCCGGTGAAAATGAAGAACATGCCGATAGCGGATGGTATGATTCCCAAAGGTCAATATCTCAACTTGCCGCCGCCCATTTTTGGGGGATGGTCTGAGGTGAAACATCTGAACTTACCATCTCCTGTGTTCAGGTCAACCGAATAATATCAGTTGTCCTTGCAACCTTGTTGTTTGACAATTTCTCACCCGCCTACTTATTAAAACCTCCCGAAGTTTAAGTTCTAAATCACCTGGCCATTGCTCCGTATCTGCGCATCCGCCCGTAAAAACAAAATAAAACGTTACTTCACAGGACACTCTGGTGTGCCGGTTCAGATGTTCAGGCATTCCAGGCTCAGCTCTTGCCCGTTTCCTCAACAAGTTCAGGTCTTTTGTTCGACACAAAGGGGCCTCACTTCGGTCGTATGTGCCAGAACACTTCGGAGGAAGCCAGGTATCTAAGGTTACACCGTTTGTGTGCCCTGGACGCCATCATTTTTAGCATTCACGGGGTGGGAATAACACAACTTTGCAACGTTAAGCATGCTTCCCTGGAACGGATTCAAGCAGACAGTCCAGTCATTACTGTTCGGTTAGCTAGAACAAGTGAGATAAATGTACAAATACACACAAGTAGTGCTCATTTTCTGTGTGAGCCCATGCCGCGGTGAGCGGTAGTTCCAAGCCGGGGAAGTAGAGCTCCCACCGGAACTTCTTGCGTAGTATATCTTACTGCTGGTTCTTTTTCAGAATTGTGCCGGCAGTCAAATACGCAACAACCGCTAACGAAGCAATCATATTTGCGCGGGGGAAAGTCGGGAAATGAAACAAAGCCCAAATTTAAGTGTTTATTATAAAGATTTAACCATGTGGGAGTCCAGTCGAATAATTGTAAGGAGAACAAACATACCAGAGTTGGTGAACGTTTTGGCTATCTTCAGTGAGCCGCTCGAAAATGTAATGAGAATCAAGTTTCCGGCACGGAGGTGCAAGAAGTTATGGCGGGGGCACCTGAAGGAAGAACTGCCTAATTTCGTTACTGCTATGGTTTTCTGCGCCTTTTTCAGTCATGTGACGTTCGTAAAATCTCCTCATTTATGAGGTCATCGTGCATCAACCAGGACTGAGATGACGAGTAATCCAGTGTCCTACGTAGTTGCGCACTGAAGCAACAGGTTCAGTTGTCGTCGGCATCCACGAGTCAAAGTTCGTGTGAGTAGGTCAAGGCTAACCGGTTATTCCTCAGGGACTTGGATAAAACCATGGGTAGGCCTCAGTTAGTGGATAAAGTATACTAAATTGGAGAACTGATCCGGGCGTTTTAATTCAACCGACCTAACGTTTAATTTGCGGTGACCAGATTGACAACATAGAGCTGGTGCACGAACCTCGGACCGGAACGTTCGTCTGTTCAAATAGGCGGTCGATAACCTTCGGGCGTTTGCCTAGTGGTGTCGTGTGTGTTTTGGCGCAAATTTGTTGCCCAATAACCGATACATGGCCAAGAATTCTCTGTCAAAGGCCTGGAATACTGATGAGGTCCGCATACAGGATGACACCGTTCATCGTCTGAAAGATGCTACAGGTTTCTACCAGTTTCATAATATTTAACTGGTCTAGTGATTTTCTTCGCATGTTATGGAGTTCTTCTGGGCAGCTTAGCCTCGGCTTCCGTTAAAAGTCCTGAATCACAGGTTGATCGCATCCAGAAGAGGGACACTGATATCTGGTACCGCTTCGACGAAAGCGATGAAACCGCAATCCGGTTCATTTCTACAGTAGTCGATCAAACGTGATGTATTTACGGTATTTTCCTCAGCTTAATTCTCGGTCTGAGCCTCCCAAGCTAGCGTTCACGTCAAAACAACCACCAAATGTCTATTAACGCCCAAAACGAAGTCAGGAACAGTTGTACAGCGCTTTGTATATATAGCGTAAGCGGCTATGACTTTCTGGGATTTCTGACGCGTTCTGGATGCGCCATTGGCAACCAAGGCATCAACCAAGACTGAGATGACGAGTAATCCAGTGTCCTAAGTAGTTGCGCACTGAAGCAACAGGTTCAGTTGTCGTCGGCATCCACGAGTCAAAGTTCGTGTGAGTAGGTCAAGGCTAACCGGTTATTCCTCAGGGACTTGGATAAAACCATGGGTAGGCCTCAGTTAGTGGATAAAGTATACTAAATTGGAGAACTGATCCGGGCGTTTTAATTCAACCGACCTAACGTTTAATTTGCGGTGACCAGATTGACAACATAGAGCTGGTGCACGAACCTCGGACCGGAACGTTCGTCTGTTCAAATAGGCGGTCGATAACCTTCGGGCGTTTGCCTAGTGGTGTCGTGTGTGTTTTGGCGCAAATTTGTTGCCCAATAACCGATACATGGCCAAGAATTCTCTGTCAAAGGCCTGGAATACTGATGAGGTCCGCATACAGGATGACACCGTTCATCGTCTGAAAGATGCTACAGGTTTCTACCAGTTTCATAATATTTAACTGGTCTAGTGATTTTCTTCGCATGTTATGGAGTTCTTCTGGGCAGCTTAGCCTCGGCTTCCGTTAAAAGTCCTGAATCACAGGTTGATCGCATCCAGAAGAGGGACACTGATATCTGGTACCGCTTCGACGAAAGCGATGAAACCGCAATCCGGTTCATTTCTACAGTAGTCGATCAAACGTGATGTATTTACGGTATTTTCCTCAGCTTAATTCTCGGTCTGAGCCTCCCAAGCTAGCGTTCACGTCAAAACAACCACCAAATGTCTATTAACGCCCAAAACGAAGTCAGGAACAGTTGTACAGCGCTTTGTATATATAGCGTAAGCGGCTATGACTTTCTGGGATTTCTGACGCGTTCTGGATGCGCCATTGGCAACCGGCATTTGGCCAATACTAGGTCATGATTGGCTGTTGGGTCCAGATTGTTGACCAATCAGATTGCGCCTTGATGCCGGACCGGCAAGCGTCCCGAATTCTGGGCCAACCTCGAGCGGGCCAGGCTTCTCGGCCGCAGCAGCCCCTAAAGGCGTGCCGTATAGTGGGATCCGCGTAGATTCCTGCCTAACACCTCCCCCTTGAAGGTTGTTGATGTAGCTTCGAGAACGGGGGTTCGCTTGCAGTGGCCTCACTGGCTTGCGGATCTTGTCTGTCCAGCGTCGTGGTTGTAATCCGTGCTCCGGCTGGTCCTCTGACGAGGCAACTGATTGACTTTCTGGGATGGTGCCGAGGTCAAAAGTGTCCAGAAGCAATTCTAGACTCATGTCACTCGGTCCCGTGGGCAAGATCGGTGCATCTGTTTGCCGGATTTAGTTCGCGTGGCGTATCCACTTGGCTGCACCAACTTGAATCTCGTAGAGCACTTGCCCCGCCGGCGAAGGATGAGTCCTGGGGTCCACGTAGGGCGTCTGCCGCTGTAGTCATGCTCCAACACTCTGGCCTTCGCTGAATGCGCGCGCAGTTGCTCCTTGATGCCGGCTGAACGGTTCCTCCATTCTGGGGTTGCGGTGACCAGCCTGCTTCGTTTGTGGCCGGATAGTGTCATGCGGTGTTCGGAGCCACCTGCGGAGCGGTGCCTCTGCGGGGTGATACTCCTTCAGGTGAGTTGGGGTTTGGCGTAGCCCGATATGTCAACAGGAACTTTTGCAAAATCTCTTCCGTTGGTCCCTCCCCCTGGACTTCTGAAGTGCCCGCTTGAAAGTGTCAACAAAACGTACCGCTTGGCCGTTCGACTGTCGATGAAACGGCGGCGGGCGAATATGTGTTATGCCATACTCCCGACAAAGGTGTGCGGACGCCGACGACGTAAACTGACTGCCGTTGTCGGATACAATTGTCTCTGGCGTTCCAAACCGACTGAACAATCGCCGGAGTTCCAGGACTGTAGTGGCAGTTGTGGGGCTGTTCACCGGAAAGATTTCCAGCCACTTGCTGTAAGCGTCGACCACGGCCAAAAAGTGTTCGCCACCCACTGGACCTGCATAATCGATGTGAAGACAAGACCAGGGTTCGGTCGGTTGCGGCCACGAGCGTAGGTAGGTTTTCACCGGTGACTTGGATGCTTCAGCGCGCCGCTGGCAAGATTTCGAGACTTGCCTGATCTGGGAATCCATCAAGGGCCAGTAGACATAACTCCGAGCAAGGGCCTTCATCCTGTCTGTTCCCGAGTGCCCCTCGTGTAACTGATTCAGGACGGCTGGCTGTGACTTCCTCGGGATGACTACACGTTCTGAAAACAACAAACTTCCACGTGCGTCACGCCGGTTGAAGTGAGGCCTCAGTTCGTCTGTTTGGCAGGTACGCGGCCACTGAATGAGATGGTACTTTATGACTTCCTGCAGCACAGGGTCTTGGTCGGTAGCCTGGCGGACCATGTCGGCAGTCACTGGAAGGATGCGAACAGCTTCGGAAACTACATGGTTAACCTCTGGTTTCATCGTGCGATCATCGTTACGATCACGGTATCTTCCGGTTCTGGCCTGCTTGAATCAATGAGTAGGGACAATGCGTCGGCTTGTCCCAGGCTGGTGGGGGACTGGTATTTTATCTTGAAGTCGTACCCAAGAAGCAGAGTGGCCCATCGCTGGAGCCGGTTGGCAGTATATGCCGGAATTCCCTTCTGCTGCTCGCCCCCTGCTGTGCTCGCCTGGCATCATCCATGAGGGAATCTCCAGATAATAGGAAACATAGCTTACCCCTCGACCTAACGTAGCTTCGAGTCTGTGTATAACGGTATGCTTGATGCTCTCGGCATTTTCTGAAACAGGCTGTACGCACAAGTATGGACTGCAGGTGACAAGAACTTTCAGGTGGACAGAGTGCGGGCCGATTAGGTGATCTTGTTGGGATGTACATGAGACTCAGGGAGGTCGGAGGATGCCTACGGAAGGCGCACGCTGATCTCAGATTTTTACAGCACCAGTTTCCAATTTGACGGAAATCGCCTAATGAATTCTCACCCACCATCAAACTAGCCTCGAATTCACATTGACCGGATTGTCGTATGTAACCAATGACGACAGTGGATCCCTGCTACCCACTCCTGGGATGCCTCTGCGAATTATGAACGTACACTTTGTTTGTTACCGCCCTTCACTGAACCTTTCAGTTGCACTCAGAATGGTCACACTTTGCTTAGTCAGAGAGAAACTATTGAACCAGGTAACCAAACAGACCTACAGAAGCGGCTCTCCCAACTTCTGTCCGGCAAAATCTCGGATATCAACCATTAGTGGAGCGAATTATCCGAAGTTGTACGTGATTCTGGGCCTTTCATCAGTCGCGAACCTCAGCTGGCGACTTGCCACTGTCGGATCTTTGATAAGAACATCATTTTACAGGAGGATCGGTGACAGAATTCTGGTTGCAACCTAACTCAATGTATGATCGGACATCAAGTAAAACTGGGTGCCCGCGAAGAGGGGGAAGAGTGGCGGATCTGGAGGGCTGAGGAAATAGAAGAAAAAAGAATTACTAGAGATACAAGCGGTCCGTTTTACTTGATTTGTTTCGTGAATCTTCGGAAGCCTCTTGTAGGCGAAGACGTCAGGGAGCAAAATGTCCCTCGGATATCCAAAATTGAAGTTTGAAAAGCCGGGCAGTATAGTACGAAGATTTAACGCGAAATATCACACTAAGGCTTCCTTCCTACTACAGTCGGATTTCGGGACGGCCAGAGGTTCAACTTGGGTGTGACTTGACCAGTAGATTGAGCTGCTTGCTCGTCCGGTACCAAGCTCAGCCCTGATTGGTCCAAAATGTGGGCCCAACTGTCACGCAGGTTCCAGGTGCCGACCGACTGTGGCATCCAGGCGTCCGGGTCTCGAGAATGTAGTCGTAACATACGGTTTAAATACGAGAAATACGCATCGAACGTACAATGTGTTGTGGCGTTCAATAAGCATTGGTCCCTGTTCTGAAAATACAGTTTGTGAAATCAGACCGAGCGAAGTCGCAATTGCGTTGCAAAATTTAGCCACCTCTAGCCGCCGATAGCCACCGTTAGCCACCGGTGGCACTGTGTTTACTGGGAAGCGTTGTCAAACATCGACAATACTGTGGGTACGATGCTGCTTCAAATCCAGGATGTCGACGTCTCATAGAGATATGGATATTGACGGTCGGGCTAAATTCAGTCCCAGGAGTCTCTGCATCTCCACACACAAGCACCATTGTGTCCATGGTCTAGATGACCTACCCCCTCTCTGTGCAACGACGTTGGACAATCCTTCGGATGACGACTGTCTAAATTACTTGTGAAAATATTTAGGTCCTCATGCTCACACGATTCCGGGCGTGCGAGAGTGTATGATGAGCTCTCCAAAATCTTCCGTACGAAGAGTGACCGGAAAAATGACCACGCTCACTATTAATGGGAGGCGTGGAAATTTTCCGGTCACTTTTCGTGTTGGCAGGAATTCCTATTCAACTTCTTCGTCGATGAAATAATGGATCAAACAGAGAGATCTTAAAATCTGTGGTGTTCGAATAGGTCCTGGTGAGCTTCGTCGTTGTTGAGTACACAGACTAAATCGTCCTCATCTTCGAAGATGGAGGCGAAGCACAGGCCCTATTGATAACGTGCCTTGCGTCTTCATAGTACAATGTCTTACTTCATGACACGCTGTCTCTGAACAGGTCCCTTACAGTTCAAGGAGAATTAATGGAGTTTTTGGAGAATTTTACATCGGTAGTTGTATTGGCTCCGACAGCAGTGTCTGCTGGCGTCAGTGCACGGACCTCAAAGGGTCAAATCCCGTTTGCTAATTCGCGTCACTTGTGGTGTCAAGGATTACGCGTACAAGGTTACAATAATGGCTGTATTGTTGTATAGTTGCGAAACATGGTCTCTGCAGATATCATATGAGGTGTCTTCAGGGTTTCGACTGCACGTCAACGGATTCGCAACAGGGATATTAGGAAAAATAAAAAAAACATTCGGTTGTAGCACTCTTTCAGTGCCTAACTGTCATGCCACCAGAATGGAGCACGAAAACTGGGATACTGTCATGTTGCCCAAGCCTAGACGGGAAATCGAGAGGCGGTGGTCAGGTTCGAACTACGGACCTTCCGGTCAGTAAATTTGCACTCTAACCACCGAGTCACCTCGGTTGTTTGGTTGTGCAACAGGTACTTCACTAGCGGAGAACATCCAGCGTCGGCAGTCATAGTGACTAGGTCACATGTTAGTGCCACGGTGATAGTACCCGTTTTCAAAAACGGGGCGCGCAGTGAGTGTGGTAACCACAGGAAGATCAGCTTGACCCCGGTTGTAACGAGACTGTTGGCGTCAATTGTGCTCGTGAGATACTGACTCGAGAGCAGCAAGCGGGATTCCGATCTGGTAGGGGTTGTATTGACCAAATCTTCACACTGCGTCAGGTGCTGGAACAACGCCATACGTATAAGCGACCCACAATTCTAGTATTCCTGGATTTCCGAGGCGCATTCGACTCGGTTGACCGGTCTGTTCTTCTTGAGACGCTTGCTCACCAAGGAATGCCCCGGAAGTTTGTAAACATAATACGTTCTTTGTATTCTCAGACTTCCGGACGTGTGAGAGTGTACGGAGAGCTCTCCAAAAGCTTCCGCACACAAAGCGGTGTCCGTCAGGGATGCCCACTCTCTCCATTCCTTTTTAACTTTGTGATCGATGAAATAATGAGACGAACGCTGGAGGGTCTCCAAAACCCTGGTGTTCAAATAGCCAGTGAAGAAAACCTTGTCGATCTGGAATATGCAGACGACATCGTTCTCATGTTCGAAGAGGAGGAGAAGGCGCAAGTATTCTTGGATGAACTGACCAAAGTCATCCCGTCCTTTGGTATGCATTTTGCACCCACAAAGTGTAAGGTCATGCTTGTGGACGTGCAGTCACTGAACACGC